ACTTTTAGGAATGATTGAATTTTATCTGATTTTGTTGCTTAAGTATATACTACTTACTAACTTTTTGTTCTGGAGCTTACACTGACTTGATATATCTAAGTCAAATATATTAATAGGTGGATGTTTGCTGATGGATTAACTACTCATCACTTTGTTGTGCTGTTGATCAGTAGCTCTCAAATTCAGGATAGGCAGAACAAGGAACAACTGCTATGCAAAATATGAAAACTAAGAAACAGAACAAGACAGCCAATGTACTTTTGAAAATTATTGCTAGCTTTCCAGATATTTTGGGTTTGCGAAAGCCATGCTTCTCTAAGCATTTCCTCTGTTCCCCTTTGTCTTGATGATTATGATATCTTATGATACCCTGGCATTACAAGAACTTGATTCTTCTCCTCCTTTTATGGTTTTGACTAGGAATTAGTTCACACATTAAGAAGTGAGCATAGTGGGTAGCATCCTTTAGTCAAGCAATTAGAAGCCAAAAAGGGCAGTAGTGGCTAATGCCACAGCTGAAGTAGCCTAGAAGTCTGTTGTGGTCTAAAGGGAGGTGGTATGTTGTCAAGGGTTTTGTCATAGAGCTGTAAATTTGGCTCCTAGTGTTCCTTGTTCAGCCAGCAGCACCCTCCTACATGGAGATGATGGTGGAGATGGTCTGACTCAGAGTATGGTGCTGGTTACTGCTTTTAGCATATACACCAACTTTGCAGAGGGCCTGCTATGTTCTTAATATATGGTCAGTGTATGTCCCCTTCTCCTTCCAGACCCCTTCAGTGGCATACATAAAAAATGCTTGAGCATTTCAGACAACACAGTTGCAGAAGACTAATAAAAATGAAATTGAGAATTCAGGTTAAAATACTCTTTAAAAACAAAATGGCATGTTTTCTAGCCTTTAACACACGCACCACCAGATTTCCACAGTTTTTATGCTTATGAGTTTAAAATACTCTGTGCATGTGTAACTATTTATTTATTTATTTGATCTTAAACATTGAATTCAGCTCTTAAATGGCATTGTATCTTGTCCTACAGCTACTCTGAAGGGCACTCAGGATGAATTAAACAAGAAGGCACTTCAGACTTTGGAGAGGTGAGTAGGAATCTGGTGGATACTTGCATTGTGTATTTCTTTACATGAATTCAGAATAATTGCTGGTTTTAATGTGTGTTTTTTTTTCTTCTGTATAAGGCTTCCTTGCCTGAAAGTTTAAAAACAGTTCAGTAAACTTCAGTGATGGTCTGTCAGAACCATTTTTGTGATGGGTAAATGCAGGGATTATTTGTTTGAATATCCAAGGTAAGAGTACCTGTTCTGCCACTAAACAGAAATAACGTTGGCCCCAAATAATCTGCAGTGAGATCTACAGTGTTGGGAGATGCAACTTCCTCATATGCCAGGAGGCGAATGTGGAAAGCTAGTTTTGTCTCCATTCCTGTGTGAAGCAGGCTTAACTCCTATTTCCCGCATGGTGGGAAAGTACCTTCACTACTGGGGTGTAGGCTGCTATGGGGCGACCTGGCATGAGTGTACTTACTGGGAAGGGGATGATTGCTGCCCTAATGAGTGTTTACATGAGCTGTTGTATGAAGAAGGGGCTACATAGCTAGCGGTACAAAGCAGTCACCACTCAGCTGTTCCTCACCACTGTATTTTGTGGGTGAGTCTAATTCGATGGCTCTGCCCTGAAAGTATCTGTGAAATAAAGTCCTCTGCAAATACAGTTACCTCAAGTAAAACCGCTTGGATTGAAAACCCTTTTTGTCAGTTTTGTTGTGGTAGAGATGCGAGTTGTGAGGTTCCTGACCCTGTGACAACTACATTACACCACCCAAAATACACTAGGTGGTATTTGGGCAGTTAACATTATAATGTATATACCTACAGACTTGGGATGGCAGCCAAATGGAAGCTTACGTGCTCTAAATCTTGGACTGAAGTACCTAGTTCTGAGTTTGGTGTGGACATAAATACATTACAAAAGTGAAGAAAATCTGAGATCTCTGGTATTTGAAAGAACAGATGTAGCAGGTTCAACATGTGACTGTATCTTAGCAGTTCTGATGCTGAGCAAGGAGGAGTCCATCATGTTTGTCTTGCGCTGGTTTTACAGTGGTTGCAAGAGCACATAGTAAGTTGGAACAGTTGTAATTTACCTTATGGAAATCTGAAAGATAAAATTTTAAAAAGCCATTTATTCAGTCACTTTTTAGATCAGGAGTATACTTTAAGTCGCACTAGTTCGTGGACTCCAATGTACTACTTACACTACTGCCCAATTTTGATGTAATTGCGGTGCTGCAGTGCTTTTAAACTGCATTTATTTTTATCCTTTGACCTTTCCAGCTGGCTGTGGCTTGTTTTCATGGTGTCTTAATGCAAGCTAAGAAGCAGACAAGCTTCTAGCTAAACATTAGGTACTCAAACTTCAGCCAATAGGGATGTTGTGATAGTGAGTTGGTTACTAGTGTCATCTTAAATGCATGAGTTTGGTTTCTTTCTTTTTTTATCTTCCTTGTTTTTCACCTGTTTTTAAAGTACATGTATGATCTCAGGCCATAGTTTGGTCTGTAGCCATCTTTGTAAGTGGCTTTTCAACTGGAAGATTGGATCAAATATTTTTTTAATACCTTTTGAAGAAACTGAACAGTAAAGTAACAACCATTTGTTTTTCCAAAACCACCGCTAATCTCTTCTCCCATACACCCGTGTGAACTTTCCCCCGTTATTTCTTGTTGGAGAGGCTATTGAAGGTTTCATAGGAGCTGCTGGCTAAAGAGGCGACTCACCCTGCTCCAACAGCATAGGGAAAAGCTGGCTCCTTTCTTGTGGAGTCTTGTTGTTGTTTAGGTCTGGGGTTTTTTCTTTTGGTTTGTTGTTGTTGTTGGGACTTCTTTGTTTTTAAGTGGGGGGAGAAATTAGTGACTTGCCTGTACTAATTGCGCCTTGATGTCTTTGGCATTGCTTCAGGATTCTTGACTTCTACTTTGACTTGCAGAGTTACAGGACACATTCAGTCCATATTAAATTAATTAGTTCTAGAGCCGTTAGTTATAAAAGTCAACTCCAACAGCTCCTTGCTCACAGGCCAAGATGGCATTTAAGAGGTGGCTGCTATTAAAAAGCTTTATGGCTTGTTTCCTGAAGTAATTTTTTTTATATTTGTTGTTTATTTGTTTGTTTATTGTTAGCAAATGAATAGCTTTGGCAGGGTTTTTAACCACCAGCCTTGTCAGCCTGTTGTTTCTTCCTCATATGGATGTTAATCATGCTCACTTTGGGCAGGGCAATGCAGGTGCAGGCTTCCCTGGTGTCCTGGAACGCAGCCCGGAAAGAGGTCAGGAATATCGGCTGGCTACAAGGGACCTTCCTCTTCCCCATCTCCCCCGTGTGAAATGACTTCCTTGTGCCATAGAGCTAGGACTGAGCTCTGTGGGTCAGCAAGGGTATAACCCACTGGTTCCTGGGCTGGTCTGCCAGTGTGGCATGAGGCAGTGCTCCATGTTGCTCCTAGGTTAGGTCCCCAAAACGCTGTCTTCATGTTGCCTTGGTTAATGGCTTCTCCATAGGCTAGCAAGCTCAGACTGCAGGTTCATGCTTAGCATAGCCTGAGAAAGGGATAGTTCTGCCCTGGTTGTCCATCCCTTGCACAAGCCTATGTGAGGGACCTCCACATCTATGTTTTGGAGATGCTGCAGCCTTCACTAGCCAAGGGGTCACTGCAGTGCACACTGTTGCCTGCTGTGGACTAGAAGGTAATGTCTAAGAGGTCTAAGCTTGAGAAGTAAGGACCTTGGTTTTGGTCCAGGCTCATCTCCTGCCATCAAATCCTTGTTCTTTCCTCTGTGTCTTCCCTTTCCAAATTAGGAGTCTACTGTCAACGATTAGACTAGAAGCTGCAGGGTGCAGGATGTTTTTTGTGTTTGAGCACCAGCTCACATCATGGGCTCCTGATCTTTAGTCTTCTACATGCTCATAGTCACAGTAAGAGCAGAAATAATTATTACTTTTTCAGTGCTTACCTAACCCTCTTCTATTGTTTGAAAAGTGTCAGTATAGGAACACGTTGGATAACTATCCCCCTCACCTAAATTACTTAAAATAATGCTTTACTGGATTTGTCATGAGTTAAGAGCTACTTTCTCCATATCAGTTATCCAAGTTCCAAAGCATTACATGCTCCTTCATTAAATGCCACTTAAGTTGTGTAACATCCTGGCAGTTGTGTTTCTCATACTTGTACCTGTGAGCCTGGCTTAGCCAGGCCAGCATTGATCTGCTTTTTTGGTGTACTCCCCTGCTACTGGACTAATTTACTGTAAGAGGATTCGGTTTTGTTCTGTGCTTGTGTGTGACCCATGGTGAAGGAGTTCTGCAAAGTACAATCTAACAGTCACTTTTCTTTTTATATTGTGTGGTCATCCTTAAAGAGCACGTGACTTGGCCCCAGAAGATCACCAAATCATCCTCTACCTATCACTGCAGCTGGCTCTTGTCAGACAGGTATGTGTATATCTGATAACCACCAAGTCATGTCACAGTGGGAGAAGGACAGTCCAATTGAACAGGACCTCAACTTGCTAAACAGGGTCCCTTCCTTCCTGTATCATGATTGATAACAATAAAATCAGAATATGTTCATGTAAGATATTTTTTTTTATTATTATTATTTAGGTAGTAATTCTGTAGCACATGGAACAACCTTCCTTAGGGCATGCATTCAGCTCTAACTCCTGAGCAGTGCTGTTCCCACTCATAACAACTTTGTCTGTGTGGGGCAAGCGAGGTGTGTTTATTCCTGTTCCCTGGGTATCACGCTGTGTCCTGCTGCAGGCTGCTCCAAAGGCTCTCTCATTACTGCCTGGTTCTGTATCATGCCAGATCGCACGCTCTCTGCACTGGGGATTGGTTTATTCCATACTTGGGCACGTTTGGTGTTAGGCTTTGACGGGTGCTGGAGCTCTGCAGTGAGTGGGATTAGTTGGTGTTTGAATGCTGCTGCAGGTGTTAACTCATAAAAATTAAGCTGATCAGAAAATATACTGCACTGCCTTTCAGAAAAAAAAAAAAAAAACATTTGGGCTGTGCTTTATTTTTCTGTCCCTTCTTTTTATAATTGGGATGTGTTTTACTTCTGTCCCTTCTATTTAAAAGCCAAAGTCTTTATTGGAGCAGCCCCTATTTTTTAAATGCTTCTGTAGCTAGATTTGAAATTTCATCATCATAGTTTCCTTCTTTGGCAGGCTTTCTGCTTGCTGCAGTTCTCTCTCCTTAGTCCACGCTACAGAGTCAAACAGCTGGATCCTTCTTACTTTCCTGAGCTAATTAGGGGAGCTGTGTGTTCATTAGGTTAAACTAATTGTTCCAAGAGAGCACACTCTTGATAATGTCACTTTTGTAACTCTTTCATAATGAGAGCAGTGTGTTGTGAGGAAGCTTGCAATAAGAAAGGATAATTAAAATGGCTTGTTTAACTTTCTCATCTGTCTACTGGGTGCTTTATGATGCAGTTCGCCCGGGGTCTTTCATTAAAAAATATCCAGCTACCCTTCTTCCTCTCGCAGCTTTTGCCTCTTAGGAAGGTTGTCTGATCTGCTGCCTCTTCTGCTTCTTGCCATAAGTAAAAGCATCACAGCTTTACAGCTGCTATCCTTAAAAAAAAAATCAAGATTTTTGTGGTCATTGGTTCTTTGTTGTTGTTTTCACTGTTATTGGTCCACTGCATTTTAACTCATTAGCCTTTCTCCAGTTGTAGTTTGTCTGAACAGTCTTGTTTTGTACGTCTCGTTTCATCATTTCCCTTCTCTCCTGGTCTTTCCATTTAGTCTCTTGTCTTCATCTTCACTTTCTCTTTTGTCTACCTCACCTGTGTACTTTCATTCTTGATGTTCTGCCAGTTTCCCCTGCTATGATAGATGTGTGATCTAAATGTGTTATGTAGTGTCAGCCTGACCCCTGCAATGCTGCTCCTGCTCTTCTCCATCTAGTGAGATATAAATCTTTAATGCGTGCTTGGAGAGAGAGGAGATACCCGAGACATCTTTATTTTTAGACTGCTGTAAAATATCCTACTCTTCTTTTGCCAGTTTACTTAATGATAAACATTTGGTAATGCATTTTTAATATCCTTAATTATTTAAAGTATCTAATATATTCTCTTTCTGATTAACTGAAAGATAAATGATGCCTTTTTTCATAGATTGCATTAACTATTGAATGTCACAGTTAGGGCTTCCATCAGGCAATGCTGCAGTACCAACAAATTGGGCCATTTCTACACAGTAGGTTATAATATAATACCTGAGTGTTATTTTCAACAGACGGGTCTTTTTGTTTCCATATTCAGGGTCAATAAATGAGGTATCCTTACCCAACACTGAAAAATCCAGGTATCAGCTTGCACAGATAAGAGGCCGTTTTCATGGAACAAAGCAAGAGAGGCAGCTGACCAGTAGAGTGTCAAGCAAAGTTGAAGCGATTCATCTTCTTTGAAAGACTCTAAAATATTTCCTATAGCACTTGTCTCTGTCAGCACTGGGTAAGGGAAAGGGGAAATGGAAAAGCATAAGCTCCCCTCTGATGCGTGATGGGGACGTGACAAGAGGAGGAATGGTTATAGACAGCTCTTGCAGAGCAGGCAGTTGAAAACCACCGGCAACCGGAATGAAAGATGATGATATGCTTTGTATTTGTGGTTCTGTGTCTTTAAAGACCACTGGAGTCACTGGGAGGACTCCAGTAACTCCTGGAGGTTCTAAGTCAGTCCCACAGCAGTTTAGGGTGAATTTTTGAGCAAATTACAGGGTAGAATACCTTCTTCTATAAGGAGGATCTCAGTCTGGTTTTCCCATCAAAGTTGAAGTGCCATGAGGCTGAGGTCAGTATTTTCTATGGTGGTTATTTCCACCTGCAGTGTCCGGCTGGCAGCTGGTTGAGCTGATCAACACATGAGACTTGTAACTCGCAGCTCCCAGCGGCTGGTTTGGCTGCTTCTCCTGTTTCTGTGGTAACAGCATTTGGATCAAGGTAGAATGAGCATTTCAAAGCTCGCTGATTTTAATGCCTTGCCTTGTTCTTTAGCAGACTGGTTTCTATGGAAATGACTCTAGAGAGTCAGTGCTCTTGTTAATTTTAAGTGCTGGTTCCCTTCTTGTTTTGGGTGGTGGTGAAATCAGTATTGGATACATAAAAAGAACATGGGGTGTTTCATACCATTTTAATACTTGGTTTGATTTGACCTTTCTTTGCGTGAAAATAGGAAGGGAAAGACAGCCAGGGGCCAGCAGCTGAGAATTAGAGGTCTCACTTATCAATTTCATCTGTAGGCTGCCAAGAGACCTGAAGTTTCAAGTGGCAATATCCAAAAAACACCTCCTGCCTTCCAGAATGTCTGGATATAAAAATAAGATAAATGTTTGTTAAGACTGCAGTGAAAATATTTCATCTGTTTTCTCCAGTTTTTATTCTGGTTGGAAGAAGGTGAGACTGCTGTCTTTTCTTTGCCTCAGGAGGTGAGCTCTGTTTTAGTAGGTATCGAGAGGTGCTGCTTTGAGCAACTGATGGATGTGGGTAGTTCTGGTTGGTGTTTCTTCCAGACCAGCCAGTGCCTCCTCTGATGAACAGCAACGTGCTGCTTTTCTGTTTACATCCTGGCCTAGATTTTTCTGGGTGATCAAAACCAGTAAGAATAAAGTAATAACAACTCCTAAATACATCCACACATGCTTTCCTGGAGTTCTAGTGGACTGTAGCAAGTCTGTTTTTAATGGAAGCTCTTATCAGTCAATCAAGCTTTCTTCTTTCTATAATCCCCATGTTATAAAAAGAGATGGAGAGGATAGTTTTAATGGTTAATTAACCATAACTCACAACTGATGAGAAATTATAAGGGCTGAAGACTGAGATCCTATTTGATTTACCATTCTAAATATGCAAGTGCATTCTACTGTTGGGAATTATTTTTAGTACTCATACTGTTGTCCTTTTTATACCTACAGTTGTAACATCCCAGCGTTGTTTTTAAGGAATCATATAGCATTATTGAAATAAATCCTGTTATATAAGAGGCAGCCTAAACAATCCATATTGTGGCATTATTTTGGTAGTGCTGCAACTTGCTATTTCTGGCTTACTGCAGGATCTTTGCTTTCTAATCAGTGTGATCTGAATATACCTGGGTGCCATGCAGAACACATGGTGTATTTATTAACAGAAAGATGAATCAGAGAAGGGTAGCATCTTCTAATTGCAGGCCCCACTTGGACTTGCAGTCCATCTGAAATAAGATTACTTTAAACTGCAGCACTTGTAGGGAATTTAAACTGGCAGCCTACCCCTGATAACAGCCCTGAAGTTTCAGGGTGCTATCTGGGCTGACAGCTTCCATCTTTCTCATATTACATAGTTACTTAAGTAAATAATCTGTGGCATCTGTCAATAAATTTATCATCTCTGCTTTTCAAACCAAGTTTGTGTTGACTGCTGCCAGATATCTTGCTTTTATTGTTCTAGAAATCTAGTTTGTATTTCGTTGCATTTGGTCTGTTGCAGGTTGTTGTTTTGTATAATGCTTCCCATAAAGGAATGGAGTCTCTTCATATTATTAAAGGTTATCTTTTCTTATCTGTGTTTTGTCCACTGTTTCTAATTATGGAGCAGTACTATGTAGGCTACTAATGGTGTTACAGCACTAAGGAATCTTTTTGGGCTCAAGTTAAACAATCAGGGAAGCAGGGTTAACTTCCAAAACCAGCCGTTGCCTGTGACTCTGATGGTACCAGAGTGAAGCAGTGAAATGAAATGTAACCATTGCAAGCCCTATGCTACAGAACTGGGAAAAAATTATTTAAAATTACATCTGTTTCAGCAGTATGTGACAGCCTGTTCAGTCAGCACAGGTGTGCAGGAGTGACCACAACTGACTTTCGTGATGCTTTATTTTGTGTATGTTGCAACAAAGTCAGAGAGCTTTTTTGGTAGCTGGCCTCTCTTAGGGGTATGAGCTTGCAGTTGTGTGATCATCAGCCCTTTGCATGTGTAAAATCCCAGTGACCTAGTTTGCACATTCACGTGCAAGTAAGGTCAAGTATCCTTACAATTTCAAAATCCCTCAGTAAAGACACTAGTTTCAAGTGTTATTCTTTGTCTTATTCAAACTAGCAAACTAGGATCACTTTCTGAAGTCTTTAGAATCATAGAGTAGCTGAGTTTTGAGGGGACCTCTGGAGATCACCCAGTTGAATCTTTGCTCAAAGCAGGGTCAGCTGGAACAGGTTGCTCAAAGCCCTCTCCAGTTGTTTGGTTTACAGATTTTCTTTTTCTTCTAATTAACTTGTTTTTCCCCAAACTTGGAATTTCTTTATGACAATTTGTGCAGGCCTGAGACAGAAGTATAGAAAAAGTAAGAGGTGTTTTTAGTCCTGAGTGCAAGGAGAGTCTTGATAGCACCTTTGTTTTAATAAGTCAAATATATATACCTCTGGTATACCTACTTAAGGACTTTGTGGACGGACACATCTGGGCCCACCACAGTTTCATGGCTGTTGTCCCAGTTCCAAGTTGTCTTGTGATTTCTAGTGTTTTCACATTGTAAGAAAATGTGTCCTAGTAAGCTGTTGAGCGAACACTGGTGATTTAAGCCAATGTGTTTACCTTTGTAGTAGGCTATAATAACAGATGTGGTTAAAGTACCTCCACTGAGAAGCAGTAATTCATTAAAGCTTAGCACTCAGTCATATATCCCAACCTGAATCTACGCCAGAACATTCAGCAGTTTTGAAGCTGTGGGCCAGATGCCAGTTCGGGGTTATGTCTGTGGAGCAGTTGTAGTGATCTCCAGACTTGCATGGAGTCACCAGTAATAGAAAAGTACTTTGGCTTGCATACAGTCAGAGTGAAATGTTGCTTGGATGCTAGGATGAAGTTGTTCCATGAACAGAATATGTACCATGCTCCCAGAACTATACCTTGGATGTAGATAATCAGCAACCTCTGCTGTAACTGCAGGCTGTGTAATTGTTGCTTTCCTTGCTTATGTGCCACCTGTTTTCTTGAGTGAGTGGGAATTTGACACTGGTGGTATACCAAGGGAGGAGAATGTCTGCAGAGCTTTGCTAGGTGGGAAGTTCTCATAGTAGGAAAGAAGGAACTATGTTCTCCATCTCTTAAGGGAAAGTATAGATGAGGAAAATAAAATTTTACATTTTTCTGTTTTGTTCTGCAAGCTTCCAGGGCCAAACACAGATCTGGAATAATTTAACGGTAATTTCAGACACTAGAGAATCTTAAAGAAAATCCTCCATATGAAACTTATTGGTAGCCAAAGGAAAGAAAATCTACTGAGAAGTTCCCTTTTGAACAGATAGCCTAAAATAGGGTATTGGATCACAAAGAGCATGTGATATACTTACATTCATTATAGATGTTAAGTTTTTTGCCAAGTGAGACTTGATTCTAATGACATGCTGCTGCTGTGAGTGTCAGGACTGCTCTTTACATCATTGCTTGCAAAGATTTTTCTTTTCTGACAGTATTTTGAATCTTGACTCTTTTACCCTTGAACACTCAAACTTAATTTTTATGTTTTTGATTAAAATAGTGAAAGGCCGTGTACAAGCCATCACAAGAGACAAAAGGCAGCAGAGCTGTGTAATGCTCTCCCCTAGGTGAAGAGCAAGCCAGCCACCCATCCTAGAAAATGGACTTGAGAATTGGGCCTCCTCTGTAGTAGATCTGCTTACAGCATAGTAGCACCATGCCGAAGTAAGAGGGGGCTGACTGGATCAGGTCTGCTGCTCCTGTTTATAAGCAGTGATTTAGTAATGCTGCAGACTCCCTTCTCTAGAATGTGTGTGTGTTTTTTGTTTTGGTTTTTTTTTCTCCAAGCAGTGCAGTCTGTTAATTTTGGCAAACTGTTCAGATAGTGAGTCTTTCTCATAGGTGCTTAAGTAGGATTTCTTCAGAATTTCCAAAGACTGTATTTGTTCTTACCTTTGGGGTATAATGTAGGACTGAAGGAGAAATGTGTTCTTTTTATTTCTACTCCATCTCCTCCCAGATTTCTGATGCTATAGAACATCTTCAGGAAGCACTGCAACTGTGCAAAGATGACATGAATTCACTTCATCTGCTGGCCCTCCTCTTTTCAGCTCAGAAGCACTATCAGCATGCACTGGATGTTATCAACATGGCTGTTGTTGAATACCCGGAAAGCTTTAGGTAAGAGTTATTGCTTGATGTGATACATCCAGTCAGGAATGATCCGCTCACTACCTCTGTTCTCAGTTACACACAAGGAGCCTGTTAAATCAGGTGTGCTGCTGGTCTGTCACTCTCCTCCTGGGTGTAGCCTGAAGCTAAAACATGTGAGCCTCAGAGTATTCTTTTGTTTCTGTTTTCATGGTCTTTCTGTTTTTAAAACTAATCCTCATACTTGTTTGTGTTTCTGTATTGTACTGGTGGTGTTTTCTCCCATATTTCTTCCTGTACTTTTTTTTGTGTGTCACTTCACGTGTGGAGAAATGAGTGTGAGACAACTATGATATCTGATCTGTCTGTATCACAAATAATTTTATATTTGGTAAACTTCCTGGTTAAAGACAAATTCTTCCTGTATTGTTTTTTTTGATACTTATGTATGACACAGTCTGCTGCAATAGCACAGCTGGGGAAAAAAATCAGTTGAAAATCACAAGCTGTAATAATGTGTAACTGAAAGGATGGTTTGGCTGCCTAAGAGCAGGTTTGAACGAGCACAGACTTCTTGGAGCCAAAGGTTTCCACTGTTCTGTGTTTGACTCAGTCCTCCATCCATCTGAGGGAGATAAATTGAATTCCTTGCAATTTACTATCATGACCTTTCAAAACAGTGTATTTGTCTGTTCTGTGCAAAAATTAAAGCTATTGTAATACTTTCTGGTAATTGCATACTAGCTGAGTTTCTCAGCCAGACTACAGAAAATCCTGTTGCATTGCTGGAAGACCAGCTTCCGTTCAGAATTGTCTGTATGTAACTGATGTTTTAAACGCATGCAGCGTTGTCTTTGGACAGCCTGCTTTCTCTATGGAGAGCAGGAACAGCCTCCACAGGTGAAGTCCAGCAACTGAGTGGGATGTCTAAACCAGTGCAAAGGAAGATCACAAGTGAGATTGAGGCTATCTAAATGTGAGCTTGAATGCTTTAGGATCTTTTAGAAGTATGGTGCTATATCAGCGTGCCATGCTTTTCATTGTAGGCTGCATGTTACCATTTAAAATAGCTCTGCTGCCTGTGTTTTTGAGGTTAGTTACTTTGTGTATGTGGGGATCTAAGACTGTCAGTTCACATCTTTGAGAAGGAAGTGAAAATTAGTAATGGAAAAGCTCTTAAAATGATGCCATGATCAGTGTGAACGTGGGTATGATTGAAACAGGAAATACTTCAGTGGCTGATAAATTGTATTTTGTGGTTGGAAAGTAGTAAGCGTAGTAAAGAAACTCATGTCGTACAAAGGTCAGATGTTCATTGAGGACTACGAGCACTCAAAGATAGGTAAGGCAGAGGTGGAAGAGGAAGAAGAAACCTGGTTGCTTATGTGAAGAACAGAGTATTTGTCATGTCAGATCAAACAACTGGTCCTTCAAGTCCTGGATCTTTCCTCTAGTACTTACTGATAATCTGTGTTTCAGGGGGCGACAAAACAAAGAAAACATGGTGTGCATGCTAGCTTGGAAGGCTCCTGGATGGGATCTTTTGTGCTGTCTGGTAGTCTGATTTCCCCAAAGCAGGAAAGAATGTTATCTCCTATGCTTCTATCAGTGCCAATCTTCATGTGCAGAAAGACCTTGTAAGGAGTAGCAGAATAGGTTGTTTCTGATAGAAACTATTAATATTGGTACTGAAAGCCACAGGTTGATGCTTACTCTTAGATGCAGACTTGCTAGAGTGTGTGCTCTTGGAAGAAGCCCTCTTTTCTCCCTGCAGGCACTGTGGCGTGTCACACAGTAGTGAGACTCATTCACAGGTACGTAGGGATGTATGAGTAGAGGCTGGCTTCTTGCCTCTGCCGCTATGACGAGCCTGTCTTGGTGTCGGTCTTTCTGTAAACTAGCCAGCAAATAACTCATGAGTGAGGAATGGAGAAAGAGTATCAGAGTCGCAAGACAGGAAAAAAATTAATTTTTATTTTTTTATTTTTTTTTTAAAAAGAGCATTTCTGAAGGGAAAGAAAAGGAATCCAATGAGGGGGGGGAAGCAAGAAGAATAGCAAAATACATCTATAGTTTGTACCAAACCTGACACCGTTCCACACTTTCTAGAGGTCTAAAGTACAGTTTATGCTAGGAGGGCTTTTCTGCTTTTTAAAACCTCTTTGAAGGGAGAAAGACCTGATGCTGTTGTGTATCTCCAGTTGTTATTGCCTTAGAGAATAGTTGTAGTAAGTCTTACTACTGCATGGAATGACTACAGGATACTTCATGTAAATAGTATAGGCAAGTTCAACTGCATGATTTTAAAGCTGTATTTAAAAACAGTTCCTTATTTTTTCCAAATCACATTGGTATGAACCAGACAACTGTGTAATGTGGTGCCTGGGGGCTCCCTTTCTCATGACGACTCTTTTTACAAACATAGTTTGATGGCATGTATCAAGAAAAGAAGATGAAATCTTCATTAAGGGACCTTAAGGCTCTGTAGTTTGCAAGAAACATAAGCATTACCCAGATGTAGATGCTAAACAGAATAATTCATTAAAAAATAAGGTCTTAGCTGGCCCAAACTACAGACATCTTGTACTGTTTAATTGATCTCTGACTGTATGTAATTGAGTTTGTTCGTGCTTTTTTATTTTCGTATTCTTTCATTATATGTTTTAAAGAAGTAATCATTCAGGATGTCACATGGTTGGTTAGTGGCTGAAGCAATTGGAAAAAATATACTGCATTGCTCAGCTAACATGCAACATTCTTTGGCATGAACCCCATAATACTGGCCCAAATGTGTTTAGAAGTGCCCCTTGTTGGAGGAGTTAAACTAAACATTTGCTTCACGTTTCATTGGTTGATAATTTTGGGAAGTAGGGCTATGAAAGTTAGACACTGAATATAGTGAGAGATGAACTGGAATGTTTTGGATTGAGCTGTTGGAGAAGAATTTGAAGAACAGTTGGATGTCCAAAAGCATAAATTGTTCAGAAGAATGAACTTCTTCTGAAGTTCTGCTTGAAAAGTGGCATGTAGTAACAAATGCATTATATTAGTGAATGACTGAATTTGAGCACTTGAACGTGCTGTGAAGCAATGACAGAGTAAGGCTGGATCGAGGAGGAATGAGAGCTAGCTATGTTGGACATATTGAAAGAGCGAACCCTGAAGAAATACACTGCTTTGCCATGACTATAAAAGATAGAAATAATAGCAACCTTTAAATGGGAGGTATCGCCTGAAAAATCACTGACTCCTGTGGAGGTAGACTGCTCAGCATGAAAATTAGTGTTTTTACATCCTGTCAATTGTTGGTATGCTTTTAAAAGAAGTTAATGAATGCAGTACCAATAGTTGGTTTTGGTAGATATTTCAAAGCACTATCTCCAGCACACGGGGGAGAGAAGACTCTTGATAGCATCAGGTATCTCCCCTCCAGGTCAATGACGCTGATCATAAGCATTTCTTAAGATGGATTCCCTCAATTTTTCCAACTCAAAGGCCCACCTTTTGGGGAGTGTTCTTCCTGGGACCAGCTGTGATTACCTCCCCAGGCTTGTCTCAGGGATAGATCTTTTGCCTGGAACAAATAATATTAGTCAGCACCCCTCTTACCCTCCTGGTGGTGGTCTTAAAATAATGCATTGTTTATTTAGAAAGAAAGTATTTCCCTTTTTAAAGCCTGTACTCACACCTCACCGTGTTCCATGCAGAAGTCCCATAGGTCTGGCAGCCCGCAGACCTCCCAACCCAGAGCCTGTCTGACATGGTTCTTTATCTGCAGCTGGTAATATTTCCTCCTTCCTGTTTTGCTCATGTAAAATTGACTTTGTCCTCCTGACTCACCCATTCTTCCAGAGACTGTTTTGCTCTCTGGTCATCTTTAGGTCTAATTGGTTAGCTCCCAACATTGGGAAAAAAATTAAGGCCTGTACCTAGCCTGAGGTTGGAAATAGTATATCAATCTTATGGTTGCTCTGTTGCTTTTATAATTGCTTCCAGACTGCTTATCAGAACCTATTCTGTTGTTTGCCAGCTTGTTTCTTGTCTCCTGAATGGCTCTCTGTTAAGCTAGAACAATACATTCTTCTGGCATAATGCACATCAACTTCTAATCGCTGCCCAATGTGATGGTGGATGTTTTGTTAAATGATCACGTCTTTGTATCTATAGCAGTTCTGCATGTGGTGCAGGAGTCATAACTCTCTTAAGTGAATAGCTGCTAATATTCCATCTCTTCCTAAACTATAAGTTACTGTTCTGTTGCTTTCAAAGTCTCAAAACTAGTTTTAAAGGGAAATAACAGAAAACTTTTGGGAAGCACTGCTATTCTACACAAGAAGACTCAAAAAGAAGCAGGTGGGTTGGTGTTTCAGAGCAATGTAGCTGTCAAATGCAGATGCTTTTGATCTACTCAGGTATTTGCTATCAGAAAAGTAATTACCATAAATGTAGTGCAAACAAGCTCAGAGGGCCAAGAAATATTAAACATGTGAGTTTGACACTGTCAGTAAAAAAGGAAGTAAGTTTTGCATGGGGAATTGTGTGTGTTGTCTTGGTGTTGTTTTAGAAGAAAGGGGTTGTTTTTGCTACAGTCAGCCCTCAAACTACGAAGTCCTCTTCTAGATTAAAAGTGGCTTACGGAGAGCAAATGTCCTTGACTTCATCACTACTGTATTAATTTCATTAAGGATGTTCAAAGTAATTGTCTGGCAAGATGTATTTGTCATAGTCTGGTGCTGACTTACGGTGGGGAGAGCTATTCTGTGGTGTATAAGCCATGTCATTTACCAGGTGCTTCCACTTGCTACGGAAAAAACCCAGTGTAAAATCAGGATCTCAAAATGCATGATTAATCGGGCATTTCCAGTTTCAGTTCTTTTTCCATTGCTTGTCAGGCTGTTTCTTGTATGTTGAAAATAACACATGCATTCTTTGAGAAATAACTTTATGGGCACTAGTGGAGTACTGCAGTATGGTTGACAGCCATAAAGCAGAACTGTCTTCTTGCCTATAATCTTCATGCGGAATAAGGA